GCACACACACACACACACACCATATCTATATATATTTATAACCATTTAAAAAAATTTTATGAAAACGCAGTAGTTTTAGTTGGACATCTTTGTATAAATAGCGTTTGAGTTTGAATTAAATGATGATGATGATGAAGAAGATGACGATGAAGAAGATGAAGACGATGATGATGAAAATGACGACGATGATGATGATGAGGCTTAATGATGATAATGATAGTTGTTTATTTCATTTAATTTACCATTATTTATTTAATTTTGTATTAATCATGTTGATAATAATAACGATCTAATAAGAACGAAACTAAAACTACTACTACTACCACCACTACAACTACTACTATTGCTACTACTACTACTACTTCTACTATTACTACTGTTACTACTACTACTATTATTACTACTACTACTACTACTACTATTGCTACTACTATACTACTACTACTATTATTATAACTACTACTATTACTACTAACAATAACAACAATGATATTAATAATAATAATGATAATAATAATATAAATAATAATAATAATGAATAATTATAAATAATATTAATCTTTATTATTATTTATTAATTTCCTCTATCGACTTAATCTATCTATCTGATGATTTATTCTTACATACATGGTTAGCCGTTATGTGTGTGTTTGTCTGTGTGTGTTTGTCTGTGTGTATGTGTGTTTGTCTATCTGTCTCGCATAACCTGAAAGACATGTGTGTGTGTTGTGTGTGTGTGTGTATCTGTAAGTAGTATATATATATGTGTGTGTATATGTATGGAAATGTATAATATATGTATATATGTATATGTATATATGTATATATATATATATATATATATATATATATATATATATATATATATATATGTATGATGTATGTATATTGTTATGTGTATTATAAATGCACGTAAATATCTTTTAACAGGATACAAAGTGTTTTTATTTTTCAAATTTCAGAATGAATTTAGATTGATTTTTTAACAATTAATAAACGATTATTAGCTAATTAATTCAATAATAAGTAGTAATTGATAGTATTAGTAAAATATTTTATACTTCCATAGTTAAATAGGATCGTAACTTAAGTAACTGTACCATCATAATTGAATAATAACTCTATTACAAATTAAACCCTCTGCGAAAGAAATAATGAAGATCGAATTTAACAAATTGTTTTTATTGGCTATAATTGCGGTCAGTTCGGCGACTTCTTACAAAATCCTCCTAGCAGGACCGCAATTTGGCAGCCACGTCTTCAAGCTGAGAGAGGTAGGAGCCGCGTTGCTGGCAGCAGGACACGAGGTCTACATAGTTTTAGATTCAAAATTCGATCCGAAATTCGTGAAAAGAGTTAGAGGTGAAGGTTTTAACGTGGAAGTTTTTGAGAAGCGCGGCGGATTCCCGAGTTATGCGTCTGAGGAGTTTAAAAATTTCATCTTAAATGGTGTTTTTAACGTTCCGTTTGATTATAGAGAAAATGTGAAGCTGTCGATCGGTGTCTTTGAAGATGAGTGTGGGTCCATGATGACAGATTTGAAGTTTTTGAAGGAGCTGGAAGGGGTTGAGTTTGATTTGGCCGTAGCGGAGCCGTTCATTCTACACATGTGTCACCTACTGCTTCCAAAATATCTCAAGATTCCCTTTGTAAGCATGTCCTTCAACTACAATCCTCTGAAAATTCGGTTAATTTTTTTTATCGTAATAATTGTTTCGAATTATTTTTAAAATTCTGTTGATATTATTGCAAGGGTGTGTATTAAATTTGAAAAAGAACCGATTCTTTAAAACGTAAATTACACGGTAACCATTACAAAATTTGTTAAAAATCACCAGCACTGTATGATTTAAATAGCTGGTGTTGAAGTGAGTGAGTTCGAATGCAAACAGATCCTCGAACATCATTACATTCAACGTGTGAAACGCGTTAATTTACTACTACTACTACTACTACTACTACTACTACTACTACTACTACTACTACTACTACTACTACTACTACTACTACTACTACTACTACTATTATTATTATTATTATTATGCAATAATCTACAAACGAATAAACATGTACTATCCAACTGCAGTTCTTCGTCGGCACTGGATAGATACACAACAAGACACAACAAAATATTGACAATAATCCTCGACAAATTAAAATCATGCGCCAACCCAGATGTCTCCATTTTTGCTGATCTAGAGACGGGAGATGTTCAACCACTATCATGCTTATTCAAGTCATTGCGACCAGATATCGCATTGCTACGCGGTGAAACGTTGGAAATTCTGGAATTAACAGTCTGCCACGAAACCAACTTCCTCAGCTCAAAAGAATATAAACTATCTAAATACTCTAATAATTGGAAAAATAACTTAATTGACGATTGCAAACATTTGAAAATAAAAATAAATACATTCGAAATTTCTACATTGGGTTTATTCAAGCAATTTAATTTATCTCATATAAACATTGTTTGGTCTGATAACTTTTGCAACGACCTTATTAAGTCTGCTGTATCATCGTCGTACGCTATCTATTGTGATAGAAATTTGAAATGAACCAATTTTGAAACTAATTAACTCTGGCTGCACTCACTCGATTTGAATGATGAGCTTCGCAGATTTGATAAAACACTAATTACTTCATTGACTTTTTATTTTATTTTACTTAATTTGTATTGTCATTTTTATTGATTTTATTGATGAATAAAAGATTGTTCCCATTATTATTATTATTATTATTACTACTACTACTACTACTTCTACTACTACTATTACTACTACGACTACTACTACTTCTACTACTACGACTACTGCAGCTACTACTTTTAATATTTACTTTGATACACTTGAGGAATACTGAAAAAATAATTACTAAATTATGATTCACATTTAAATTATAACCAAAATAATTATAACAGATCTCCGGGCCTGCCATCTTTCTCGCCAAGACACTGGTTTTCAAACGACGTAGAGAGAGATGCGACATTCTTCACGAGGTTTTCAATGCTCCTAGGCACCATCTACCTATCCAGCGGGCTCTCCCCCATCAACACAAACCTCAATTTACTAAGGAAATATGCTCCTGAAATAGATTCCTATGAAGATCTGTTGAGGGAGTCGTTGTTGTACTTCTACGAAGTCGACCACCATTTTAATAGTTTCATCCCTAACTTTCCTAATCATATTTCAGTGGCCGGGCTGACTTGCTCTCCGGCTCAAAATCTTCCGAAAAATATTTTAGATTTCATTAACGGCAGGATTGTTGACGGGAAGGGTTGGTTTAGTAAATCAATCAGTCAATCAATCAATCAACCAACTAATCAATCAATTTGTATTTATATAGCGCAATTTTTAAACGTTGATGCAGACCCTGGTGTAATTCTCATGAGTTTTGGTTCTTTCGTGGATTACATGCCAAATCGACTGATCGAAAAGTTTTTTAAAGTCTTCGAATCTCTCAATGAAACCATCTTGGTGAGGTATAAGATCAAACAGAACGACACGCAGGTACGTTAATAAACATTTTTTAAATTAATCATAAAAAAAATTAGAATCTTGCGCAGATTTATAAAAAAAAATGATATTGCCTAGCCTAAACCAACGATACCAACAAACGTGATGATATCAGACTGGCTGCCCCAGAATGACCTCTTGGGCCATCCCTCCACCAAACTCTTCATTACGCACTGCGGCAACAACGGACAGCATGAAGCTCTCTATCACGGCGTCCCGATGTTGGGATTCCCGCTCTTCGCCGAGCAGGACGAAAATGCCAGGAAGGTCATCGCCCTTCAATTCGGTTTGATCATGGACATAATGACTTTCACTGAGAAGGAGTTATTTGGTTGGTTTATTTCTGTTTTTTAAATAAATTTTTAATCAAGCTTCACTTTTTCTTGTTTGTTTCAGAGAACATTCTCGAAATATTGTACAACCCCGAGTACAAAAACCACATACGGCGCATGTCAGACGCCTTCAGAAATCAGCCAATGACAGCCCGGCAGAGAGCTCTGTTCTGGATCGAGCACGTGATCAAACATGGCGGAGGTCATCTGAGATGCAGTGCTATGGACCTGTCGATGTTTCAGTTTCTCTGCCTCGATACAGTTGGACTTTTTGTCTTCATAATTATTTCCCTCTCTTTCCTCACTCTGAAAATTTTTATTGTCACGCTTAAATATGTCTTAAAATTTTACCAAACGCTCTCCTGCAGGCTTAAAGTTAAGCAAATCTAACCCTCACGTACCTTTCATTCATAGATAAAACTATCTCACTAAACAATAACCGAGAGAATAACTTATAAACTGCAAGAGTATCTGACTGAACGTGACTAATTCTCATTAGTTCGTTGACTTTTTGCTTGCACTACTGATCGCATTTCTGTTGAGACAGTTTTTTTCTTTGTAGTTTAGTCGCAGATTTAAGTTTGACACACTAAACAAACATGAGGTGACTGTCTTATATCTGCTTGAACTTTGATGTTTCTGTTTAATTGTATTTTATTATGAATAATAATATTTTATTATTATAACATATTGTAGTATTATTATTTTATTATTATTATTATTGCTATTTTTATATTTACAAAACTTTTTGGACAAAATTCATTCCAACTTCGTAGTTCACTATATTAACAAACATGTAATTTATGTATGTGTGCGTGTGTGTGTGCGTGACCGAAATGATGAAAATATGAATATAAAACTTTATTTTTCAAAGATAAAATACAGTTTTCAATGTTTTTTTAGAACGCATTTAAAATCTACTAACTCAGTGACCAGTTTTACGTGAAACAGACCCATCAATCTACCTACTGTACTACACGCATGGCGTTTATTAATTATAATTATCAATGGCGGGATTGTAAAGGCGGTTGCCCCTGGCCATTGACCTTGTTCGATTGCATAGAGATCCCCACGTATTATAACCACTGTGTGTGATGTGTTGATTCACGTGTGTTTTGTAAAATATGCACGGTGTCTGTTGATATCTGTAAAAAAATTTTTAAAATGTTCTTGTAAAGTTATGCAAACTCGATTTTGTTTGTTTAATCCGGTAAAACAATTTTGTCAAAGTCGGTTCTCACCTGTTTTTTAAAACAAGATCCTTTTGGACATTTGAGAACGAAAGATATGTCATTGTTGTTTAAATGTTATGTATTTGTGAAAAATATTGAAGTATGAGACTCTTTAATTTGATTGGATGATTTGTTTGTTGATTGGTTGGTTGGTTTGTTTGTTTGTTGATTGGTTGGTTGGCTGGTTGGTTGGTTGGTTGGTTGGATGGTTGGTTGGTTGGTTGGTTGCCTGGTTGGTTAGTTGGTCGATTAAGAATTAATTGTTTTTTGTTTGATTGATTGGTTGATCAACTGATTAAATGAAGTGAAAGCGAAAGTGACTACCTCATCAGCCAAACCTACAATCACTTTTATCAATACAATTAAATTTTTTGTCAAAACGTTGCTTACAATTCATTCATTTTCTATCATATTATCCGTTCAGCTATTTAACACATTAACAGTTCAATTTTGTTGTTTAAGAATTTTCAATCTTGCATTTTACTCATTTTAATTTAATTTATCTAATAATAACAAAACGAAATAAAAAGATTAATTGATAAATAAAAATATACATTTAGGAGCGGGCCATCATTGAGTGAATGAGATATATGTTAGAATTTTATATATTTTAATAAATGAACAATAGAAACTCGACATCAATGTAAATTTCCATATATAAAACATACGTACATCTCTTGATCTTTTGATGCTAGCTACAAAAAAAAAAAAACTATCCCATCTGTCATGTTTCAACATGACTTTTAAGCGAAGTAATTTAAACAACCGTAAAACACCACACACACACACACACACACACACACACACACACACACACACAACACACAACACACACACACACAGAGAAAGAGAGAGAAAGAAAGAATGAGAGAGAGAGAGAGAGAGAAAGAAGAGACGTATGACTGGCACACACATAGTTAACTTTAAATTTAATTTATTGATATTGGTCAATTAAACGTCGGTAACTTTTTTAAAAACTAGTAAATTTTTTAAAATCTACCACCTCACTTTTGAACTTTGGAAGCATTTAATTGTTAAGAGTTATTAATTTTAAGAGATAAATAAATAACGAAATATAAATATCTATATGTATATGTACATGTTTTTTAACGTGAATGATGATGTTGAAAAACTACAGAATGAATTCATACAGTGTACTGTACATATGTTACTGACTACCACGCCATTAAAACCGTAAAAATATTGATTTTTTTTACTAATAAAACGAATGAGATAGGCAAAACAAAACGCAGTTCAATAAGGATAATTTTAAATATTTCAGTTTTAAATAAAATTATGTTAATTTTCATAAAAATTACTCAAAAAAATTAACTACTTAAACAAAAATACTAGCCTTAATTACTTAAGAATACTAGCAATGATTAAAATAAGTAATTTACTAGTGTCAGTAGTAGTAATCGGAGTTTATATGCTGTGTTTACACGTGAAATATTCCTACAAAATATTATTTGTAAGCCAACAGTTCGTCAGTCACGTTTATAAAACGGACATGGTTGGATCAGCTTTGATGGAGGCAGGACACGAGGTGCATAGGGTTTTAGAGTCGAGGTTTAATGAAAATATGATTGAGAAGTTTCGAGAAAAAGGATTTCAGATGCATTTTTTTCAGGGAACCAGATCATTTTCCGAGATTTTTCCCAGAGGAATTTAAAAAATTTCTCAGCAACGAGATTTTCAACGTTACGATAGAGTTCGTTCAGCAGACTAAGGGTGCAATATAGGCTTTTGATGGGTGATGAAAGGTTTTTAAGAGACTTAAGAGAAGTAAAATTTGATCTGGTGGTCGTCGAGCCGTTCATTCTGCAAATGTGCCACTTTTGCCCAAATATCTCAACCTACCTTTCGCCAGCATCTCGTATAATTATAACCCGCTAAAAACAAGGTTAGAAAAATTAATATTTCTGTATTAGTTGTTGTAAATATATTTGAAATAATCTTTCATCTGCTTGTTTCAATTTATGTGAATCTATTTTTGTCCTTGTTTAATTTTCAATAGTAACAGGCAATGTCGCACGCATAACAATTGACGGTGGCACCGTACGCGAACGGGATCAGTTCTGTTAGTCCTTTATTTTCTAAACATTTGGAAAAATATTTCCCACCATAATTCATCCCTGATCTCCATCCTTGTCATCATTCTCACCACAACAATGGCTCTCCAGAGATGCATCGTTTTACGTGAGGTTTTCCCTACTGCTCGGAAATATCTACCTATCAACCAGTCTCTCGCCCATCAACACAAATCTCACCGTCTTGAATGAATACCTCCTTGGGGTGACCTCCTATGAAGATTTGGTTAGGGAGTCTCTAATGTTTTTCTACGAAATTGATCACCACTTTAACAATTTTTCCCGCTCTTTCCCAACCACATTTCCATTGCCGGCCTGACTTGTTCACCCACTAAAGCACTGCCTGTCGATATTTTGAACTTCATCGACGGAAGAATAGTTAACGGAGAAGGTTAAAAAAAGTATATTTTATTATGATAAATTATATAAAAATAATTTATTTGTTAAATGAAAATTTGTTTCTAATGCTTACACAAGACCTTGGCTTGATCCTAATGACTTTCGGTTCATCCGCGGATTACATGTTGAGATCTATTGTGAGGCAGTTTTTGAAGGTCTTTGCATCTCTCAACCAAACCATTCTCGCTAAATTCATCATCGATCCAACTGACAGCGAGGTTTTTTGTTAATATTTGAGTTAAGTTTAAATCTGTTCAATCAAATTATCATAGAAATAAAAGTTGAAAACCATCTACCTCAACAGCTGATCTCCATGATTCCTCCAAAATCTTTTAATCCTTGAAGACTGGCTGCCCCCGAATGACCTCCTGGGCCATCCCTCTACCCAACTCTTCATCACTCACTGCGGCAACAACGGACAGCATGAAGCTCTCTATCACGGCGTCCCGATGTTGGGATTCCCGCTTTTTGCTGAACAGGACAAAAATGCCAGGAAGATCATCGCCCTTGATTACGGTATAACCATGGATATTTTAAGTTTCACGAAGACGAAATCATTTGGTCAGTTAACTGTTTTTTAAATTTTAAATTACTTTTTCATTTAGCAAATTTATTTTTCGTTTATACTAGAGAACATTCAAGAAGTTATTCACAACCCGAAGTACAAAACCACCATTCAACGTGTCTCGAAGGCCTTCAGAGAGCAACCAATGACAGCCCGGCAAAAAACAGTTTTCTGGATTGAGCACGTGATCAAACATGGCGGCGATCCTCTGAGATCAAGCGCCATGGATCTGCCTATGTATCAATTTCTATGTTTCGATACTCTAGCACTTCTCATGTTATTAATCGTCGGAGTTCCTTATAAAACTTTTAGTATTCAGGAAGGCTTTCAATTACTACAATGAGAAGCTGGTCATTGAGAAAGTTAAAAACTTCTAATTTTCAAACGGTCTTTAAAAACGTTCTCAGCTATAAAAGTAGATATCTGTTAAAGTTTTATAGTAATAGATGAGATAGTTATGTTGAAATTTATGTTAGGAAAGCAGTTGTAAATGATTGACATATTAACAAATTCGTCATTTCCCTCAAAGAACCCTTGCCTATTTCTGTGTCAGACTGTTTTTTTTAATTTTAGATATATCCATTTTTAAAAATACTCAAATTTTCAAATATGATGATTGCTGGACATGATTTTACATAATTTAAAAGTTTGAAATGATTTGAGAATTGTATGTTGTATGACTGAAATTAAATATTTGTTGAACGTCAAACTTAATTACGATTGGGGGAGTGGATTTTACAAAATGTATGAGTGGGTAGTGAGTGGAATCGTTCGGCTGTGAAATGACAAATTTGATGACTTGAAATAAACTAAATAGGATGGTTGATGTGTTTGCCAAAAATTGAAATTTATGACCAAGTTTTTTTTTCATCTAGAATGATTACATATCATGTTTTCGCAAGGGTCTGGCTGTATTTTTTTCCTCTACTTCGCTAGTTTCTCATTTTAACGATACATTTTATTAATTTTTAATCCAAAATCCAGACATCAATTAGAATTTGATAAACATTTCACTCACTTGAATTCGAATTTCAATTATTATTAACAAAAAATACCAGCAAATATAAACTCGACAAAACTTTCCACACAAAATACAACGAAACAGAATCACTGCCCTACCGAAAGCAATGCAAGTTATAAAATCTTGAAATTACATACTTTTTTCAATAATTTATAATCAAATAAATTTTGTACAAATAATTAGTAAAATAAGATAATTAAATTAATAAATTTAGATAACTATTTATTGGTGGACCTAGCTTAATTAACTACATCAGCACCACTTTCCAATAAATTAGAACCATTGAGCGAGTTCAGTCAAACGTGGTGACTTTTTTCATGACACTATATCAAAAATACTAAATATATTTCAAAATCTTTGGGGTAAAATCAACAAAATATTTTATTCTTTTCCTCACACTCACATAAATACATACATACTCTGCATACGTACATCTTAATATATAAACACATAAACACACACACATACAAACACCTCCCACACACACACACACGTACACAGATACATACACACATACATTGGTATTTAATGTATGAACTTTTAACACACAAGCTTCAAGCAGAAATGAACACCTGTTGAATGATAATATCGATTTACCTGTACGGGTACGTGCCTCTAGAAGTATTTAAGATTCTTATAAAAACAATACATACATACATACATGCATGCATACATACATACATACATACATACATACATACATACATACATACATACATACATACATACATACATACATACATACATACATACATACATACATACATACATACATACATACATACATACATACATACATACATACATACATACATACATACATACATACATACATACATACATACATACATACATACATACATGCATGCATACAGGCATACATCCAAACATACATACATCCAAAACATACTACATGTATACATATGTTTAAGTATGTTTAGTACGTTTTGAGATAGTATAAATTTTTTATGTGCAGGGTTTATTGATCGAAAATAGATACATACATATATGTACCTATATAAATACATACATACATACACACTTAAATAAGAAAGACAGAGGGGTCAGACCGATTGCGGTCAGGAACGTTTGGAGGAGGTTGGCCGGCAAATGTGCCTTGGCCCTGGTCGTGGTCGAACTCAAGACCAAATTCTGCCCGACTCAGTTGGGTGTCGGGATTAAGGGTGGCGCTGAGGCCGCTGTTCATGCGGTTCGAAGATTGGTCACCGACCTCCCCGATCAATGGGGGTTTCTGAAACTGGACTTTAAAATGCCTTCAATGCCTTGAGAAGAGACTCGATGTTGGAGGCTGTCAAACTTTTTTGCCCCAATATCTATAATATTTGCCATTCTGCCTATGGCGGAGTCTCTTCCCTTGGCTACCACTCTTGGGTTGTAGAATCGTCCGAGGGGGTACAGCAGGGTGATTCCCTTGGTCCTTTGCTGTTCACACTAACTCTTCATCCACTCTTAGAGAAAGCTTCGTCCACTTTCGTTTGCGCTTATCTGGATGATATCAGCATTACTTCGGACGGCCCAACTCTGGCCGATAGCTACAAATATTTGAAGCATAACTCCGCTGCAATTGGTTTAGAGTTAAACATTAAAAAATGCGAACTTCACTGCCAAAGTTTATTTCAGGTGCCGCATGCGCTGGCTGAAAAACCCAGAGTTGGTGCATCAGAATTGAGTTTTTTAGGCACACCCTTGGTCGAGGGCGATTATCAAATAAAGTTTTTTGACCAAAAGCTCTCTGAGCTAAAATTCGCCCTGGGTCGTGTTTCCTGTCTTTCGGCCCATGATGCCTTGACTATTATCCGGAATGCCCTCAGTTTGCCCAAATTGATGTACTTCCTGCGTACATCCAAACACATTGACCCTTCTAAATTGGGCGAATTTGACGGAGCCCTGCGCACCGCCCTGTCGTCGATTTGCAATGTTCAAGTGACCGACAGTGGTTGGTCCCAGGCTCAGCTGCCGGTGCGATTTGGTGTGCTGGGGTCGCTTAGCGTGGTTCAGCTGGCTCCTGTTGTTTATAATTCTTCTGCCGCTGCCACTCTCGACCTGCAGTCTTCCCTGCTCTACCGGTTTTTTTGTTGCCGCGATATTCTTCCCCCAGTGTCCGCCCCGGGGGACCGTACGCACGTCCAAATTTGAACGAAAAATATAAAAAAATCTTTCAAAATTTGTTGTCTTCATACGGCGACGACTTTTCCACCGCTCGTTTGTTGGCCATGTCCAGCGTTGCCAGCTGTGGGTGGTTGAGATCGTGGCCCAACACCTCTGTGGGCACCAGGCTTGACGACGACGAGTCTGTGAGATTTGCCATTGGCTTCAGACTTGGCCTGGTCATTCAAAATAAATACACGTGCGGAGGTGACGCAGGGGCGGACGAGTTTGGGCACCACGGTTTGGTTTGTCGTCTGGGTGGGGGCCGTCAACTACGTCACTCAGCGCTAAACGAATACATTTGTCGGCTCTTCTCCAAGGCTTCAATCCCGGTTCTCAAGGAACCATCCGGCATTTCTGCGCATGATGGTAGGCGCCCGGACGGATGCACACTAATACCTTGGAGAGCCGGCAGATGTTTGGCGTGGGATGTTACGGTCCCGAACGATATGTAAACCTGACAAGTAAAGAATGCGGTTTGGCCGCGGCCAGGGCAGCGGACGAGAAAATGAAAAAATATGGGAACGCCCTCCCTTCGATGGAATTCTTGCCAATATGTATCGAGGTTCTCGGCCCGATGGACCCCAACACCCTTAATTTTCTTAAGGCAATATGTAAAATGATCAGCGTCAGATCAGGCGACAGCAGGGAACTGTTTTTCGAAACTAACCACATTTCGTGCTTGTTGCAGCGGTTCCTGCGTGTCTGTGTGCTTGAAAATATCCAACTGAATGCCGACATAAAGCAATTAACGACAAATCAAAGTGTTAATCCATTTGATACTTGATGTTTGACGGTTCAGTGTCACTCATGTTTTGGTATTTAACTCAAACCCATACATACATACATACATACATACATACAAACATACATACATACATACACACACACACATACATACATACATACATACATACATACATACATACATACAGACATACATACATACATACATACATACATACATACATACATACATACATACATACATACATACATACATACATACATAAATACATACATACATACATACATACATACATACATACATACATGTAACTATATAAAGACTTTTGAGGCTAGCGAAGGAACATATGCTCGACGGTAACAATCATTGGCGATAAACGCGAGTAC